GGATCCTGGAGAGTTGAAATGTAAGTATAGCCAAAAATGTTATGTTATGGATAGAGAAGATACGAGTTAAAACCGTTAGGTTATCTTTTGCTGTCTGTGTCCCATTGGGGAGATGTGCCCTTATGTCCTATCCCGGAGACTCAACAGGAAGTGAGGGGAGATCACCACAAAGGTGAATTACCTCTCAGACAGTTGTTACTGGAATAGGTGCTCCTGTTGGATGGTTTCCCCAAACCTCCTGTACTAGTGACAAATGTAAGATTCCGGATTTCCTATTCATTTCTTGATAACAATGGTCACTAGGACAAATAGAGAAGGTTAACCTACTGAGTACAGACATGCTGCTCTGTCTGCTGCCTCATTAAAGGGACATCCCTGCTGACAATGCTTAAAGTAGAACTGGATAGGGTAAGGGAGGGTTATAACCCCTGTCAGCTTTTTTTGTGTCCCATTGGGGAGATTTCCCTTCACTTCCTGTCTGATAGCCACATCAGGAAGTGTAAAGAAATCCCTCCAAAAAGAGGAAATCCCTAGTGGTCAGCAGGGTCACCAGAACTAGTGTCCCCGTTGGAAGGTTTACCATCAATTCCTGTTATGATGACAGCCCAAAATGTGGGACTTCCTTTCACGTTCAGTGATATTGGTCACCAGGTGAAATAGGGCAAATCACGCGAACGGGGACACGGACAGCAATAAAAGCCTGATGGGGGTTGTAATCCATCTGCATTCAATTGAAAACTGCAAAACAAAGTTAGCTGTCAGTTGCACTTTAAGTGCTTTGAATGCAGAGGATGTGCGTTGTCACTCTATTGAAGGAAGTCCTAGGTTCTGGCAGGATCAACAGCTATTTTTACAAAGAAATGGAATGCACATTGGGGGGAAATTGATCAAAACTGGAGCAGACAGAATCTGAAGCAGCTGTGCATGGCAACCAATCAGCTTCTCTCTTTCATTTTCAAACCTTTACTGTATAAACTGAAGAGAGAAACGGATTGGTTGCCATAGGCAACTGCTCCAGAATCTGTCTGCTCCAGTTATGATGAATTCCTCTCATTCTATTATAATGTATGCAGTGTGCTTCCTCTCATTGTGATGGCCCTGTGATAGTTTTATGAAATGTGACTATTCTTCTTCTTTATAAGAACTAGGAAATGTCGGCCAGCCCACAGGCTCCATGCACCAAATCCCCACATTCAAATCATCAGAAGCACAAACCATTACATGGGACTTTTCAGGTGCTACAATAATACCACAATCACCTTGTGACGCCACTGCACTAACAGATTATATAAAACCATATGGAACTTTTATTCTTATATCATAAAATGAGTATTAAACTGTCCAGCTTTTTTTCCAATAATGAACCCGGATCAAACAAATACACATCGTCCAGCGAAGTGTTTCTTCACATTTTCACCCAAGCACTTACAGTCATCATGTTTCCAAACAGCTCCGACTCTCTCAGCTTCACTTCCCTGAACTTCCGGTCCAGTACAAGATCACAAGGGACAGCACAGTCAGCAGCAACTGTTCATCTACTAGCTTGGAGGAGGGGAAAGGAAAGGAGGAGCAGGGAGGAGCTGCAGGGAGGTGTCTTGCCTTGCTTTGCTTATTCAATTTAAAGGAGAACTATGAGGTGAGTGAAAATCAGTCCTCCGCATAGTTCAAGCCGACGTGTGACAATCAAACTGTCACACGTCGTCTCAATAGATCGGGAGGTGAGAGAACACATACGGTCGCTCACTCACTTCCCGATCATCTCTCTGCAGAGAGCCGTGACTGTCACTCACTGCTCCCGCAGGGATTCCCCCCGTCCGATCCAGCAGCGCTGACTGGGGGAACGGAGAGGGGAGGGGTGGGTACAGCTGGCTTTTTTCGGGATCCGTCCCGGCTGTGGCGGTCTCAGTATACAGCGAGCTGTAGCTCCCTATATACTGAGCTTTGGGTCATGGAAGGTCGCTAGTTTATGTCCTCCCGTGACCCTTAAGAGAACTATGGGGAAAAACACTGACCCCATAGTTCTCTTTTAAGTTAAAATATTAGGTGACATATGATATTGAAATCAAGTTCATCTAAGGAAATAGATACCGGTACATGTATTTAAAGTGTACGTATGGCCAAAACTTGACGCTTCCATTTTGATTTGACGGATCCTTAGCTCAATTTTACTGCTTTGTGAATGGGCCCATACCATACAACAGGGGAAGGCAACCTCGGCACCTCCAGCTGTGTTAAAAAAACAAATGACATCATGTCTGTGGCTGTCAGTCTTGCAGTGCATCATGGGACTTGTAGTTTCACCACGGCTGGAGTGCTGAGTTTGTCTATTCCTGCATGGGCCCCTCATACCGAACAACAGGGGTAGGCAACTTCGGCACTCCAGCTTCAGCAAAACTACAGGTTCACATCTTGGCCATCCCACAACGCACCTCCCGGGACAGCGCGTTTGTGCACGATCACGCACAGTGGTTGTCGCGACGTATGTTTTTTCAGCGGCAATTGTGCGCAATTGCACCAGCGGAATCGCAGCGGGAAACTGCGCAATCCGCCTGCCGTGACTGTGGTGCCGTTAGAAAAGAATGGCACCGCCAGCACGATCAGGGGTGGTGTGCGATTCCGTGACCACGTGGCCATCCGCACAGTTTCGTGCACGATTGCCTAAGTGTAAACCGGGCCTTAGTCTTGCTGTGCATTATGGGACTTGTAGTTTCACCACAACCAAGACTGCCTACATCAAGGGTAGGCAACCTCTGCACTCCAGCTGCGATTAAACTACAAAACCATCATGCTTTTGCCTCTGGGAGTCATGACTGCGGCTGTCAGTCTTGCAATGCCTCATGGCACTTGTAGTCTCACCACAACCAAGACTGTCTACAGCAAAGATAGGTTACCCTATCACCGCCGGATTAACGGTTTGTTTTCTGCTGTATTCTGTACACCTCTTTATTATTTTTTTATTTTGTATTTGTTTCTGGATAAAATCAATAAAAAACTATCTGATTTTTTTTTTTTAACTGCCTCCGGGCCGGCCGTAGTAGAAAAACGGCCGGCCCAGAGCTCTCTAGATCTGAGCGGGCGTCTTTAGACGTCCGCTCAGTCACGCCCCCTTGTAATTTTTCCTAATTATAATAAAAAATAAAAACCCCAGTGGTGATTAAATACCCCCAAAATAAAGCCCTATCTGTCCCCAAAAAATGGTATAAAATTCATTTCAGTACAGCGTTGCATGACGGAATAAACGTCAGTCAAAGTACTGCAGCGCTGAACACTGAAAAATGGCCTGGCCAGGAAGGGGGTCTAAACACCTGGTCTTGAAGTGGTTAAAGATAGGTGACCCTGGCATTCCAGCTGTGGTAAAACTACAAATCCCATCATGCTTTTGCCTCTGTGAGCCATGCCTGTGGCTGTCGGAGTCTTGCAATGCCTTATGGGATTTGTAGTTCCCCAACAGCTGGAGTGCCGAGGTCATCTATCCCTGCTCTACAATACAGTTGCGTTCATATCCATAAAAAAAGTCACAACTTTGGATCTGAAGGCGGCATTTTTCAAGTTTGTGTGCCTCAGGCATACCAGTGCAGTGTTTTTATTGCAACAGTTTTATCGATCGCTATTTTTTATTATGATCATGATGTCACCAGAAGTGTTTTATGTTCTTGCATGCAGCACATGAATCCTTGTACAGCAGACTGGTAAGAAGCTGCTCATCCCCAAAGATCAGACAGAGATATTCAGTGGGGGGGCGGAAGATTCTATCACACACACAGGATAAAACATCTGATGCAGCCAGAAAGGGGAAGTCGGCTTTTTCTCAGCCTTGTTTTGCTGCTGGCAGTTCCAGTTGTAAAACTTGAGCAGATTTCCAGAGAACCGAGCTGGGGGATGGGAGCGGCCCGCCTCCTGCTGGAGCCGAACCTACACAACCGAGTAAACAAGAGCGACTCCATTTTGTGACCCGAGGGTAGCCGAGAAAGGGGGAGGTGGGAGGGGGCGGAGTTGCCGAGCACTGCTCACCCATATTATTAATACGTATGAGCCTGGCTCTCCCCTCTCCACTAAAACGAGCAGTAATGCAAAGTCAGCTGCTCAGCGGCCATTGAACTACGCCACGGGGCAATGACAGGCAGGTCTGACAGGAATGCGACCTCTCACACAGTCGGCGCTCACAAACACAAAATGGCCGTACCAGAAAACAGAACCGCGCTTTTCTATTAAACACATCTTACATTCGACTTTATTTTTTTTTAAATTAAGCTACTCGAAAAAAGCGAACCAGGCAGCCGCAGCTTTGTCACATTCACCGCAAACTTCCCCTTATTTTTAAACTCCACCATCCACCACACAAGCGCTCGCAGCGGCCATTGGGCGCACTGAAGACGTCTTGTGAGCCTCCGCCGTCTTATATACCCGTCTAAAAATAGATAGCCCCGCCCGCCCTTCCCGGGGGAGGAGCGAAATTTCGAATCTGGCCAACAGCGGCGCTGGTTAAGGAAGGGTTTCGTCACGCGAGAGACCCCGCCGAAGAGCCGCGCGCCGGGATTGGGCGCAGCTGACATCATAGGGACATCGGGGCAGCGGGCGCGCGCTGATTGGTTCTCCTACTGAGCCGGCGTAATGGGATCACGTGGGGGAGGAGGGGGGGTGTGGGCAGGCTGGCTCCTGGGTTGTATAGGGAAGTTTTTGCAGTGGTTTACAGTTGCAGTCACTTCAGTGTTTGCAAATATTGTCTGCACCACTGAGCAAGTCCTGAGCTCCAGGAGGAGTCTGAGTCTTGTGTGTGTGTGTGTGTGTTTTTTAATTGCTATGCAATGACATTTGCATGAAAACCTGGCGTACTTATTCCATTCTACTGGGATCTATCCTCTGCAAGCTCTGGATTCTATTTTGTTATTGTTATTACTACAACGTGCTGTGACTCTATGGTAGCATTTCTATTTTTCTAGAACATTTACATTGACCTTTATTAGAATTTTTTAATTATTATTTTGCATCACCTTCCAGTCATGGATGTTCTACCCATGTGCAGCATTTTCCAGGAGCTTCAGATTGTGCACGACACTGGCTACTTCTCCGCTTTACCATCCCTGGAGGAATATTGGCAACAGGTAAATGAGGGGGATGCTTTCTGTCTTATTGTAGGAGATACCCCAGCCAGTGTTATTGCATTGCGTGCAT